TGTTAAGCTGCTTTTTTTTTCCCCTGTTGTTTGTTTGAGAAATTGTTCATTGTATTACGTTTTGAGAACTCATTCCCCTCTGTTATCTGTATTGCGTTTTGAGGACCTATTCATTTTTTGTCCCCATTATCCACACAAGGTTAAATTAAGTACTCCCTCCGTTCCTTATTATAAGAGACATTTGATGCTTATGGCATGTTCCTATATATAAGAGACACTTACAAGTTGTCTCTACTTTTTTGTGTTGATTTACTATTTTACCCATATTTATTATCTCCAACTCACACTCTCTCTCCCTCCCACTTCTCTTTCTTTTAATAATTTAATTGTTCTCTCTCATGCTCTCTCTCCTTATTAATGAGGGTATTTTTGGAAAAAAATTATACTTTTTACACATTAATTGTTCTTAACTAATTTTAACTATTTTTTTGATCAACGTACTTCGGTTATTTGTCTCTTATAATAAGGAACGGAGGGAGTATCATTTAATGAATTCACATTACCATTTTAATATCGTTTACAATACTACCTCCGATCCTAATTATAAGACACAGTTAACTTATTTGAGGAGATTAAGGAAGTATGTTAAGTTAGTTATTTGTAATAAATAAGTGTTGTCATTCCTAAAATATCCTTGCTAATTAAGTGTATTGGCTAGAACTATCATTATTAGAAGGACTATCTTGGAAAAAAATGTATAAATATGAGAGAGAAAATAGATTGGGGCCTTATAATTAGGACCAAACAAAAAGTCAAACGGGGTCTTATATTAAAGACTGGAGGTAGTATTTTAGTAGATTTTAATATTAGTATATTTTCAAGGATTAACGTTTTACAACGAACTAAATTTGGATGACTAAAACCATGGATGTGGAATTCCAGCAATTAAAATTAAAATAGTATCAAAGTTGTTGCCCTAAAAATTATATTAACATGAAATCTTAATTCTTTACTTCCATGGACCCGTTTTATGCAAGGGAGTTTCATATGAAAGTGAGGTCCAACATATCAATTATCAAACAAATTCTGCGCCCACCCTCTACTCCAATTTCAATTTTCGCATGCCAAATGGGGCTTGAACTTCCGTGACGCGTTTCCCAAACAATAATTTCTTCCCATCTCTTTGCCATTTGAATGTCTTAGAGCATTTACCCAGAACACCATGCCAAATCAACTGCTTATTATTATTATTTTTTTATCTGTGCAAAAAAAAAACTGTCTTCTAGTTCTGGTCTGCTTTGTTGAGCAAAACATTGACAATGAATCATAAAAAGGTCTCATAATGTGGCGCGTCTGAAATTACCAATGATAACAGGTAACTGAAAAAAAGGGTTTATAAGGCGCATATTTATTCCGAAAAGTTTTCAAGTATTAGACATCCCAAAAATTTTTTTACGCAAATTTATTCCCAAAGTTTAAAACCTTATTAATGTTATTCTCCGTTAACGGTCAACTTTACTCTTTTAACGGTTAACATTAGTTTCCAAAAGCTTTTTTTGTATAAATTTTCTTCGAAAGTTTAAAATTTTAACAATATTGCCCTTATCATTAAAAATGTTAACAATTAAATTTACTATTTTAACAGTACACGTTAGTTTTTTAATGACAATATTGTTATGATTTTAAAATCCGGGACCGGTTTGTACCCAAAAAAAAAAAACCTAACACCCCGAAACAAATTTACATCTTAACCCAAAAAAATAAAGAGAAGTGAAGAGAGGCAAGAATTTAGGCAACCTACATAACACCTGAACAATAATGCGGCTTTTGGCTCAAAAAACAAAAATGCGGCTTTAGCATTGTGACACGTAGCTCTCTCCTGTTACTTATTCCCACCTCCTCCTCTTTTTCTTGATAAAAGAATATTTGAAAGACATACCAAACGAAGAGGCTACAATTACGACGGGATGAAGACAAGACCATGCTAGAGACATGAGGTTATCCGCTTCAAGCACGATAATACTCTTTCTTCCTTCAGGCACTCTTCATCTCCACTCCAATATCATCATCCATAGGGCCATCTTCTTCGTACGTGTTGAAAAACTTGGCCAGCTTTTCTGACACAGATTGTAGGCTTCTATCCGCAGATTCTTCATCTCCATCATAATCGTCATCCCCTTCAAACATCAGATGAACCGCCCATTTTTTCAACTCCAATCTCTCATCCATAGGGGGGTTTTTCTTCGTCACACAAAATGTGTCCCCATCTCGCAAGCGAGAGATGAGTGGATGGTAGTCTGGGAATCTACAAAGGTACAAGTGTTCATCATTCGTTCTTGGCAACCCATGCAAGTCTAACACTGAACTATATGTGTTTTTGCCCAGTTTGAGGACATTTGCTTTGATATCAACTACTCCGGGAAGTTCAACTGGCAGTTCACTCAGTGATTCATGGTTGATAGAAAGAATGATACCCATAATTGCACCTGTTAGTTCACGGTTCTTGGGCTTCGAAAAGCTTACAGCTTGTCCTGAAAACCATTTGGGTAATCTGGTTCCTGGCATGCTCAAGTTCCTTAAATTCCTCATTGTAACCTGTCATTCAATAAGGTCAGTAGATTTTATCGAAAAGAAATGGGAAATTACCTTACTGACTTATCCCTAAAATGAACATGCAAGTATCCATGCATTTAATCTGTTCAATCTGTTGTCAATTATACTAGAGTAGCTATAACCATTTAGTTAAACTTTACCTTAAACTTCTAGTCTTCATCCATTTATTTATTGATGACAGGAGGGGGAAAAAGAGGGAAAGACCAAACCTTAGAAAATCTCTTGCGGATTGGGAAGGAGCATGCAATGCACCCACCCAAGTACAAACTCCTCAAAGACACCAACCGTTCAAGACCTGGAATATCCACCACTTTTACACAATTCGTGAGGTTTAGATCCTTAAGACTTGTTAAATTTGAAAGGTCGGGAATGCTTTGTAAGGTACAGCAGTTTGCAGCATTCAGCTCTATCAAGCTTGAGGGAAGAGCAGGGAGAGAAACCAGCTCGATGCAGTTTTGAAGATGGAGCTTTTTCAGAATCGAAAGGCCGGCCAAACTGGAAGGAAGGCTGTGAAATTTGTTTTGGCTAAGATTCAAAGTCTCCAAAGACTTCAACTTCTCAAAATCATCAGGAATTTTTCCAGATATTCTCCAACAACGAGCGTCCAGATCATTCAGAAATATCATATTGCAGAAAAAAGATGAGATTACAGAAGAATCGTGAAGCAAGTTATTTTCAGACTTATTGGCCATTTTCAATGTTTGTAAGCTGGTAAGCATACCAAAGCTTTCAGGTAATTCTGTCAGACCTGTTTCCACCATCCCAAGATGACACAAGGACTTCAAAGATCCTATAGAATCAGGAAGCTTTCTGAGCATTATGCATTTGTCCAACCTCAAATGAACAAGATTTTTCATCTCTTTGATGGAGTCTGGCAATTCTTCGATGTTTCCATTGGAAATGTCCAAGGTTGTAAGAGCTGCGAGGCGTCCAATCGATTCAGGTAGAGATCTCATCTGGCAATTCCTCATTTCAAGCTTTCTTAGCAATTTCATATCGCCAATTTCATCTGGCAAATTGGTGATCGCTGTCCCATCTAGCTGAAGCTCAATAACGGAAGCCAAAAGCTTAATAGTCTCAGGCAACTTTTTCGGAGACTTACAATATCCTACAGAGAGTTCGTTTAGATAACACAATGATCCAATGGAAGAAGGAAGCTCTCTAATAGCACTTCCAGAAAGCATAAGTTCTGAAAGCGAAACGAGGTTTCCAACAGAATCAGGAATCTTAGTGAGAGAATAGCAATGCATCAAACCAAGCTTCTCTAGTTTTTTCAAATGCCCGACAGTTTTGGGTAGTTCTTCTAACCCAGATTTGTCGAGAGACAGCTCTTGTAGAGAGCACAAAAGTCCTATGTTATCGGGTAGTCTTTTTAAGTTTTGGCAACCATTTAAAATAAGAATTTCAAGTTTCTCAAGGTGAAAAAAAGTCTCAGGCAGCTCTGCTAAAGCAGTGCCATTAGCAAGAAGTTTTCTTAGAGATTTCCAGTTGGCTATGGTCCTTGGTAACGATTTTAACTTGCAGCAATCGGGGAGAGACAGGCTCTCAAGATTTTTCAGCCCAGATAAATCATTGGGTAACTCACTAAGTTCAGTACAACGAGTCATATTCAAATGACGAAGTGTGGTCAGATCGCCAACTGATTCGTGAATCCTTCTTAGTTTAATGCAATTCACTAGAACAATCTTCTCTAAACATCAACAGCCAGACAAATCAGGAAGAGCCTCCAGGTGATAGCAATAGGAGAGGTTCATGACCATGAGGTTCTTGGGCACCTGCGAGCCAAGGTAAAAGTGTTGCTACATTATAGAATGCACATTAGCATCTTATAGTAATATAAAATACGGCTCAGGTCGTAATATAAAATAAAAAAGAGAATTGACTCTGATTTATAAACAATAACGCTTAAACACAACTGACAGTCTAAAACACGAATAAAATAAAAGAAAAATGAGAAATTAGGAAAAAATCAAGTCTCTTTCAATAAGTTTTGCAATAAAACTAATTTGTTGACACAATTATTTTTTTAAAAAAGTCGTAAAGTGTCAATTGAGGAGTAAAAGTGTCACCCATAATTTTATTGAAAAAATATTAATAGCTGCATTAAACTCACGCTTCAGTTTCTGTCTAAACTAAGGCACATCTTGTGGTAAAATTTTCATATCATTTGTCGTTCGTGAACAATTTCAGTACACAATAATCTTGTCGCACATCTTCATGGCCCGTGCTGTAGTTATTCTTACATTTATATGTGACAATTAGAAGATGTGAGGCCAAGGAAAAAAAAAATTTAATCAAATGCTACGCATGAGAATTGAAGCACGAAGAATACCTTGCATCCCTTCCGATTCCACAAATTCTCAATATAGCTGTGTGCGAGATCAAGGACAGCCAATTCTTGGGGCCAAAAATCAGAAGGCATGCACTTTAAAGGGCATCCTTGCCATTGTAGCCACTTCAATTCTGCAGGGAAAGATTTAAACTTCCCTTCCAACCTCAAATTATTGATCTGAAGCAGCACCAAGTTCACCATGGATTCAAAGGGCTTGGTTCGAAGCACTGTGACCTCTTTGTCCCTCTCAACTCGTTGAAAATATTTCCCGTGAATCTGTTTAAGGAATGACAGGGCATTCACGAAACTGGAACCAGATTTAAGGTTGCAACAAGAAATTGCTTGTTCGTTGTCTTTAGTAGATCTTTCCTCGAAGTCTAGCACCATCCCTTGAATACTACGAGATCCCTGCGGTTTCCAAAGCAGCAAGATATTTAACTATAACAAGAAGCATTATCCTATTGGATGGGAATAGTTACATGAACCACATCATGTCATTATTTGCTGTCAAGTATAAATAAGCAAAGTTTTGAATAAATTATTAATAAAAAATTCTCATTCAATAATTTCACCTAGATATTTTATAGCTAGTCCAAAGCCTAGATAAAGAATGAGGGCTATGTTAGGCCTTCTACAACTGACGTACATGGATCAACAAAGATATTTAACACATATATATGTGTGTGCGCGCGCGCGCGCGCACTCATGAAATTGGGATTGTTATCAGAGGGCTGGACAAGACGCTATAAAGTGCTAACACTAAAATACAGTTAAGTTTGTGTCAAATACATTTTAAACAATATATAGTGTTTGTGTTGGTCTGATACATGCATAGCATGCAAAGTGACGACACATGTTACCGCATCGTATAATATTCAAATGAACAAAATCTAATTATATAATCTGTCATAGCTGCCATATAATATTCAGTCGCAGAGATTCTTTTTTCCTTTTGTTTGTCTTAGTCAATCTCACTGCCCACATAAGACAAGTAGCACGACGACATACATTCTTTTGTTTAACCCAAATGCATAAAAAACTATCATACAAATTCTTGACTGAGACATGTTTTATAAAATTTAGCGGTTATCACCATTTAACTTTAATTCTTTTCGGAAAAACTCATTAACAGAATAACTTAGTTATCTAAATTAACATCAATTCAATTTAAAACATAACTATACACCGTTTTAAAATTTGTTAGAATCAAGTTATAATATTATAATAACATCTTAGACACTAATAAATCGATGGAAAATCAATTCAGTTTCTCGCCCTAACAACTATGATATATGGGCGGCGAAGGATTTCACATAACTCAAAGAAGAATAATCTCCAAAACTAAAAGACCTCTTTCAGGATCCTTTACCTTCATATTCCTCAAAACAGCTAGAATTTCAGATCGATCCCACAATCGACCAGGCATACCCGGCTCAATGAGGTTTTCTTCCACATCAATTTGCCGTCCCATATCTCTAATTTGATCATGCATCCAAATGGTTTCGTCCTCTCTGATTTTGATCAAGCATTTTTCTGTGAGAACTGTGATTGCTATCTCTCCCCCATATCTACAGCCTCTTAGTACATCAATAACATCTTCTCGCTTCATCCTCATCGGAACGAACAGACAAGCAATGTCAAGGAAGATGCATTTCTCTTGCTCATCTAACCCCTCATAACTGATCTTCAGCACTTCCCGAAGATTCCCAGATCGAATTACCTTCAGTTTCTCCACAGCATCAATCCATTCCTCTTCCTTTCTCTTACCAAACAACATTGAACCAAGCACTTCCAGAGCCAAGGGCAACCCTCCCGTCAGAGACACTATTTCCTTCGACAGCTTCAAAAGAGTTTTGTCTGCAGGTTCATTTCTTCTCATTGCATGGTAACAGAATAGTTCAAATGAATAAGAGTCATCCAATACCTTAACCTCGTAGAAGACATCAACATGAGTCTCAGGCAAAGCACGTGCATCCCTTGAGGTGATTATTATACGGCTTCCCTCATGGAACCATTCTCTTTTTCCTATTAGAGTATCGAGTTGCTTCACATCATCCACATCATCCAGGAATATCAGAACTCGATATCGATCAACTGTTCTTTTGAAAGCAGGAATATCGTCACCAACAACTACTTCAGAGGAAATATCTCTGATAATTTTGTTTCTTAAAGCAATTAAACCTCCATCTTTGGAAGAAACTTCTCTAACACTTGAGATGAAGCTGCGATGCTTAAAATGCCCAACGAGTCTGTTAAAAAGAGCCTTTGCAAGGGTTGTCTTGCCAACCCCACCCATCCCGAACAATCCCAATACTCTTACGCCATTGGATTTCATGCCCAACGATGCCAATAGTTCTTCAATACGAGCATTGAGTCCAACAGTAAATTCAGTCAAACCAACCGGAGTATTAATTAGTTCTTTCAGAATCCTTTGTACTAAAAGTCCAATTAGATGGTCTTCTTGGCTATAACAGGAAATAAAGTAAACCACTAAGTGAAGTCAGAATGGCTAAAAAAATAGAACATAGCGTAGAGAAAAGTAGGAAGTTGTAAATAGATGTAACTCGTGAACTGATATAAATCGCCACTGTTTAGTATTTACATCTACCAACTCTTCCCTACGCATAGTAATACTCAGTAACAGAGAAGACCTGGGATTCTGGAAAACCCAACCAGCAAGTCCACCTACTTTCTTCATAGCTTTCCTCCACCTGATTACCTCATCTTCGCTCCTCTTGGCTTTATGAATTTTGAAAGAATCTTCAAATGGACCTGTTTGTTCGAGGACATCAGTGGGGCCTACGTAGTAGAACACCGGCAGAATCAGTCTTCCGCAGTCGCAAATCTTGGCAAGCTCCTCCAGACACCAATGAGAAGAGGCGTAGTCAGGAGAGATGATGATGATCGAAGCGGCCGAGTCATCGATGGCTTCGAGCAGACTCGGAGCTATCTGGTCCCCGCGATCCAACCCAACATCGTCCAGGAAAACTCGAACGCCGCGAGATTGGAGCGCATTGTAGAGGGGTTTTGTGAGGCAATCACGAGTATCCGCACCTCTGAAGCTCAGGAAGACGTCCCAACGGAGCCTGAAGTCTCCCGGAGTCGACGACATGACGTGGCCTTCCGGTGACATTTCTGTGTGACGAGTCTGTATTGCTTTTGTGGTGGAGAGCACTTCCAGAACTGTATGGACTGTGACTTCACGAAGATAATACAGATACTTTCCGGCGGAATTGGGGCAAGTTCCGGACGGAATCGGATTCTGAATGTTTATCGTCGAAGAGGGGGCAATTTCGAATTCTCTGCGCACTTTGCTTTGAGTGGAAAGGGGTAGACTTCTTAACAGATACTTTCCGGCGGAATTGGGGCAAGTTCCGGACGGAATCGGATTCTGAATGTTTATCGTCGAAGAGGGGGCAATTTCGAATTCTCTGCGCACTTTGCTTTGAGTGGAAAGGGGCAGACTTCTTAACTGTTCAAATGCAACAACTGTATCTCTTGTGCCGTTATAAACGGTTCTATCACGGCGATTCCTGTTCAGTGCCTTAGTGGTCGCCGTACGTACGAGAAGGGAAAGTTTCCACCAGGACCCAACATTAAAATGATTTTTTGTCAATATTATTTCAAATCTTGGAGATTTAATCTATTTTTAAATATAAGATCTCATTCAATTTTTTCTCCAATGCTTATTGATTTTGTCTTCAAGTAATCCATACAGTGATTACCACTTTATTCCTATTTATAAGTCATTTGTGGGGGAAAATTTATTTCCAAATGCAAGTTATTTGTAGGGTAATTAATAAGCTTTGTGTAATTTTATCCCTATTAATTTAATAAATGCAGAGAATGATAAAGTAAATAAGTGAGAGAAAATATAAAATATATTTTTAATATTATTTTATTTTTATTTATAAGTCACCCATATCCCAAACTTGCAAACTAAGAAATGTATTAAATTGCTAAATTTTCCACATGTGCCATTACTAAAGAATGAGTATTAAAACTATGTTTTATATTTTTTTCAACCTATTTACTTTGTCTCTCTTTATGTATTTATTACGTCAACATGAGTAAAATAAGAAAAAAAGCCATTAATTACCCTATAAGTGGCTTATAAATAGGAATAAAGTAGTACCTTTTTTTTTTTAATAAGTGCAAATGTGAAAAAAAATTATTAATTTAATACATTTCTTAGTTTGCGAATTTGGAGTATAAATAACTGATAAATAAGAACAAAATAATATACATATTAAGGAGTTTTTATTATTGGTCGTCTCAATGGACATTATTAACAAAAATATTTTAAGAAAGATAATATCAGTTTATTACAAACAATTAACTAAGTAATTTTTTTAACATCCATAAATTAATTATTTAGCTCTTATATTACATACAAGACACCCAGCCCTGCAACAAGAGAGAGTAGAGGAGAGAACTTATTGCCAGAAAAAAGAAAAAAAGAAGAGGGTAAATTTGAAAAATGGCGTAATAATAGTTTGCAAAAAATATGATCATATGAGCCAAAAGTTAGCCATCCAACACAACTAATGTAAAAGTTAACAAATACAGCATCAAGGTTAGCCCGCATCAGGAAGTAAAGTAGCTTTTCAATTGCTTCTGATCCAAACAATGAATTTTCCCCTAATGCCCACTAACGCACGTTGTCCAATTTCCTAGGCATGTTTTTAGTCCCAAATGGAGATCCAAACACCTCCAAAGTTGTTCATTAATAAAATATATGAAAGCATAATGGTAGTAAAATCCCGCCTTAACATAATTTTTGTCTCTAAGGCTTTGTTTGGTTCAATGGAGGGGAGGAGAGAGGAGGTTAATTAAAGGAATGGGAGGGGAGGTCATGGGTTTTGTTTGGTTGGAGGGGAGGGGAGGGGAGGGGAGGGGAGATTTCTTGTTTGGTTCACAAGAAGAGGGGAGGGGAGGAAATTATAAATTAACAAATATGCCCTTATCTCTATATTTAGACTGATTAATTCTTTTATTACAACATTTATATCAAAATTATTATTTCCGAATTTATCAATTTCAAAAAAACCAATTACCTCACTTATATGTGATAAAAAAATTATGAAATAAAAGTATAATATATATTAGAAAAGTGAATGGGAGAAAAAAAGACAAGACCTTAACTATATAATAATACCCTCCACATATTAGGAAATAAAATATA